ACCAACCATGGTTCGAATCCCAGACCCAACAGCTTAAAACATGCTGGACACGTGTACAGTGCAGCCATCCTCCCTGGAGGTGATTTCTAAATTTGTCTCTCTGTTTTTCTATGTCTCTCTGCCAAGTGCATGTGCCCTATAGCAAAAAAATCTCTCAAATAGACAAAAAAGCCATATAAAAATAGCATTCAAGGGTTAGCAAGCGGTAATAAAGTTAAAGTGCTGAATTTCACATGGCTGACCCTCTGGTTCAAGTCCTGGCCCCTGTGGCTTGTAAAAACACACTGGGCACATGTGAGCGCCCAAAATCCCAAGAGGAAATGGAGAAGAGATTGGGACAAGTCCATCCCCACTGCAGAGAGATTTCTTGCTTTCTGCCTCTCTCCAGCAAGCACACCTGCCCTATAGCAAAAACAAACAAACTAGTATATATTTAGTTATACAATATAACTTCTAGGGTAAAAGAAATTAAACTGAGACAAGTTAATAGTTTATAAATTGATATAATTTAATAAATTTTAATTTGGTACTCAATTTTATGTTTATAGCCTAACAAATATGCTTTTCTCTATATATATTTGTCTAAATTCAGAGACTGAATATACTTACTTATTGACTAGAAGAATTAATACATGTAGAACTTCAACAATTTTGAAACAAGTGAAATTACAAAACTGCCTTCATCAATTCACAACAATCTCCACCTTGATTCATCTTCACATAAGTACATGAATTACTTCTAATGGCTCTTTAGAAGTTCATAAACTATATCTAAATTCTACTATTATTTTTACAATGAACTGAAACTACATGAGATAGTAACTTACGTTTTCTCCTAGTTTTCTTAAGCACTTTATTTTCCATGATCATTTCAAAATAGCTATCCACAATTCATAAATTATCTCCATTCTTTGACCCTTCAACAAACTGATTTGCATACAAAACCAACAGGTAATATTTTAAAGTAATGTAATATTGTCAAGTAATATTGTAAGAAAAAAGTAAGATAGCTAAGTAGTTGCTGTCAGCTGGAAACAGAAGCATAAATATTATGTTTGAAAGTAATCTTAAGCTTATAACACCAATGTTCAGAGGCAGTAGAAAATTGGTAGTTCCATATAAAGAGTTCTACATTAGAGTTGAGATCTGAGATCTCAACTATGCCTACTATTCTTATGATCTTGTGTAAGTCATTTAGCTGTTCTGAAACTCAACATACAATAGTCAGTGAAAATCACCATACAGAATCAATGTCTCTCACACACACACACAAACACACACAAATTGTAGCTCTTTTGATTCAATTATATTCTCTGTAACAATGTGTATCTAATGCATCCAGTGAGTCTGTGATGAGAAATAGCCATTTCAAGATTAAAAGGCACCACTTAATAACAAGTAGCAATATTTTCAAACTTGGGTTCTAACTGCAACTATTCAACAACTATTTTGGGGCCAGCCTCATAGCAGTTAAGGGAGCTGGATCCCCCATGGCTGACCACAGTTTAAATCCTGTCACAATGGCTTGCAAAACATACTAGACATGTGGGCCGAAAAAAAAAAACCTGACAGGAAGGAAGAATGGAGGAAAAAGAATTGCAGCATGACCACCTCCCATCCTCCCATTGGAGGGTGCTTTTTCTCTCTCCTCCACCCTTTTTCCCTCCCTCTCTCCCTTTCTCTCTCTCTCCCTCTCTGTCCAGCATACCCTTTGGCAATAAAAAACAAAAATAAAAAAAGTTTTTCTTGAGTGCCTATAGTACCTATATGAATAGGAAGATATCTCAGCCAGACAAGGCTAGAAGATTAGAAAACATTATGCATATGGAAAGCACAGAAAATATACATATAGGTACATTAGAAGTGTGTGTGTGGTGAGGTGACAGTGGAATTAATTGTGGCTCAGTAAGGTGCCAGAGGTAACTCGGAACAAAATTCTAGAGCTTTGTAAGACATATTAATAAACTTCAACCCCATTCCATGTACAGTGAGGAATCATTAAAGAGTCTAAGAATTGTGTGGCATAATTTATTTTCCTTTTTTTTTTTCTTTAGAGAGTTTTTATTTATTTTTTTGCTGTAGGGTGTGTGCACTCCACAGAGAGACAGAAAGACAGAAAGTGAGAAATCACCCCTCAGGGCGGATGGCCATGCTGCAAATCCTTCTCCTCCATTCTCTTCTTGCGATCTTGGGCACACCATGCACATGCTCCTGGCATGAGTTTTAAACCACTGGGTCTGGGACTCAAACTGCAGTTGACTATGTGGGAGTCTGGCGACGTAACCATTACACCATCTGCGGTCCCTATTTTCCATTTTTAAAAAGTCACGGGCTGCATGCACAGGATAGCCAGGGGGCAAGATTAGAGACAGGAAAACCAGTTAAAAGACAGCTATGATCATTTGAGATGTCAGAGGCCTGAATATGAAGGCAGTAACACAGAAATTAAGAATAAGAATCAAGGTCTCTGAAGTTATTTGCCTGCATTCAAATCCCAGATTTTCCACTTACCAAATGGTTAACTTGAGCAAGCTGTTTACTCCCTCTGTACCTGAATTTTCTCTTCTATAACCTTCTATAAAAATCTTCACAGCATTGTTGCCAAAGATCAAAGGAAAATTATACATACACAACAGTTATTATGTTGCCTGGCACAAAATAAAAATACAATGTGAATGAGATAGAGAGATAAAACTAACTGGAAGATGTTTAGGACACGGGAATTGACAGTTTGGCTACAGGCGTAAGGGATGAATGTACCCTCTAGTTTCTGGGTTGGGTGATGGAACTATTTGAAGGGGTGAGAACGCATTAGGTTTGAAGATTCTGAAGGTTTAAGAAGATAGTGTTCACTCTTGACCATACTGACTGTGAGACACATGCCAACAGGCAGGTGACTATGTATCTCTGAAGAAAAGGAAATACATCAAGGCTGGAAATTGGAGATTCAGAAAGACAGACCGGCTGTAATTTAATCCACTGGTAATGCACAAGAACTCCCAGAGAAAGGATATGCAGAGTAAAGGAGTGATGACACTAGGTGGAACCTACAGAACACCAACATTCAACAGGTGCACAGGGGAAGAGAAGCCTGCAAGGAGCACTGAGAGCAAGAGATCAGAGAAGAGAGCAATAGTGCAACAAATCAAAAGCTAAAAGAAAATGGTGTCCCAAAGTGAGAACACCCCAACATTGTCGGTACTGCCAAGCAGTGAAACAAGTTAAAAACTGAGTTTTCACTAGATTTAGCAACAAAGCTATTCATTCACATAATATGTGCCCAACACTGGGGTAGGCCCTCAAGGTACAAATGTGAATAAGACAAATAAAATCCTTGAGGAAAAAAAAAGAATTTATGTTGCAAAGATAATCAATGAGCAGATAAATAAAATACTTACACGTTGTGATAAGGATGGTGAGCAGATACAGAGGTATAGTAAAGGAAAAGGCAGAGGTCAGCTTTAGATGGGGGGTTTGGGAGGACATTTCTCTAAGGAGGGCACATTTAAACTGAAAACCTAAGGCAGGAAAGGGTCTGGCATGGCCACAGAACTGAAAGAAGCCACATGCAGTTGCAGCACAATGATGGAGGATAGAAAGACGGGCTGGCCCATATTTGCAGATTATGCTCATAGTGAGAAGAGTTTAGATGGTGACCCACTGAGCACTCCTAAGCAGGCAAGGTAAGTTCACTCTGGCTTATAGTACTTAATGGTTGGACTCTCTTCATTTATACTCTTCTTAATCAAGGACATTTTACTACTCTTTCAATCATTACCAGTTGATTACAAATATGTCAATAAACTTTGGTATTTTAAAGGATTCTATATGATTACAAGCATGCTACCTTCTGCATTAATTATACTAATCCACTTTTTAACCCTTTTATGTATTTCTTTCACAGGTATTTCTCACAATATCTTGAATTTTATCATAAAATTTTATTTCTGAGTTACTCATTTTCAAGTAATGTTCATTAGAATTTGAACTTTTTATAACAAGACTCTTCAAAGTGTTACAAAATGTACATTGGCCAATAGTGTACCCCTCAAAACTGATAAAGTTCATATTTTTAAAAAGCTTATATTCTACAGAGACTTTTCTATTTTCTTAATCTATGTATTTATATACATAAAACTTTTTTTTTGGGGGGAGAGGTTTTTGCTATAGGGCACGTGCACTCACCACAAAGACAGAGAGAGAGAGACAGAAAGCAAGAAATCACCCCCCAGGAGAGATGGCTATGCCACAATCTCTTCTCCTCCATTCTCCTCTTGGGATCTTGGGCATGATACACACGCGCCCAGAGTGAGTTTAAGTCACCAGGTCCAGGATGCCAACCACGGTTGACTATATAGGAGTCCAGCAACATAGTCATTATGCCAACTGCTGGTCCCTGAATATGTTTTTAAAAAGCTGGTAAAGGAAGCTTTGGCTTAATTCTGAGCAGGCAAATTATATGTTCATATCATTTTTTATCTGCAAAAGAAACATTTTCTGGTCCTTCACAAGGATGTAAATAATAACAAATACTACCATTTACTTAATAGCTACTTTCAGGCAGTGAGCTAGGGAAATAATGTAAGTTATTTTTAATCATCCCAATACTTTCAAGAAATAGGCATTATACTCCCACTTCACAGATAGAAAACAATCTCAGAGAGGTTAGATAACTTGCCTAAGACTGCAGAGCTGAAATTTTAACCCAGTTCTAAACACTAAAAATCTCTGGGCATTACACCAGGACACCAGACTATTAGCAAATTGAGTTCTTTAAAAATACTTGTCAGAAAAAAAAAAAAAAATACTTGTCAGATACAAGATATAGATCATAGAAATAAATTTTTAAATGACAGAAAATGTTTTATTCAGTTTTTAATAAACTGTGTACAATTTAGAAACATAAAACCAGCTTAGAAACGTAAGCCAGACACACCATTCTTATGTGTTCTTCCCTTTGGCACAATAACTTGATTTCAATTTTTTTTTTCAATATTTGGGAAGAGAGAGCTATTTAAAAAAAACTATATTTAAGTTTCAAGAATTACCATTCTTTGTCAAAAACTTATCCCAGCTAATCCTCAGTGTACACACATTAAATGCAATGAGCTACAAGCAAATAAATGCCTATTCTCACAAAACTCATTTGCCTCTCAAGGTTAAAAAAGTACAAACAGTCTAAAGTGTCCTTCAAAAGCCTAACCTCTGATTAGAACCCTAAATGTCATCATTTCTCTGAACTTGAAAGACAACAATTCTGAACAAAAGCATCATAATGTGCTCTAAGCAGAATCAACAGATTTATTGCGCTATGAGCTCTTCTTACTGAGATTTTTTTCATGTAGCCAACTCATTCACCAAGATAATGTTTGAAGAAGTCTATATATTTAACAAAAAGAAGCCGCTGACAGATTATCTTTATTTTCCTTAACAAAACACACACACGAGCACAAAATTCACTTATATAGCGTCATTATTTTACAAGTATAAATAATGCTCAGAATTCAAGTACAGTCAAGTGCAGAGATATTTCCTATATGTTAATATGTAAACATAAACTAATTATATACATTATGTGCCTTTGGCCCAGCTGCAAAATAAAAGACATCAAAAAGAAACACTGCACTTGACTGTTCAATTGCATTCTTATTGAGACTTCGTACCAATGCCTATGTAATTACAGTTGCAACTTCCATACTGCTTAATGTAAACACCTAAATAAGATATTACTCCCCCCTGGCAAATATCTTAAGAGTTAATCCTATGTGTTTTTAACAAAGTATTCAAAATCTTAATTGTCTTACTTTTAAAACAAACACTATTAAAGAATTTATTCCTAACCAAATTTCTTCCTATGTCAAATGTATATTATTTATAGATATACATATAGAAAATGAGAATACTATTGTTTACTTTTAGAATGGACCAAAAATATCTAGAAGCTGTCTAAACAGTGTGGGCCTTTGTATATTCAAAAGGATCTTACTTCACTGATATCACTTGCTTTTCATTTTAATACCCAATTGATCCAACTTTAACATATTGAAATAGGTAGCAATCTGAATTCAAATGATATCAAGTATATCCTTGTGGGGGGAAGGAGATGGGAGAAACAAAGCACCACCTATAAAGCAACAATTGACATCAATGAGACTAAATATCCAGTTGAAGGCACATAGAAGCATTTACTACTTTGTCATCAAAGATTCTCCGCTTAGTTCAGGATCAGGAGTAGATTCAGCTCTGGGAACTGTTGATTTGGCTTCATTCTCTGTGGTTTCCTCTTTCTGGGTCTCTTCTTGTTCCTCCTCTGGTTCCTCTGAGCCTGGTACTTTGTCAATCACTTCATTTGTCTGCTCTGTAGCTGATATTTTGTCATCTGTCTGCTCTGTATTATCATCAAGAACATCTTTTTCTTCTAAAGATTCTGAAAAGATAAAGATGCAAGAGTTCAGGAATAACTAAATGTAAAAATTGCTCAGTAAGATAAGTAAAAGACAAAGACTAAGTAACAAGAATGGGCTAACATCCTGAAAATCTTTTGAAATAAGTACTTCACTCTCTAGAGCAACTAATTTCTGAATTAGCATGACTAAAGAAATAAAATAATTTGGAGTAAATAAACCTATAAACATACTTTTAGCTAATGACTCTTTTTTCATACAAAAATACATACATACATACACACACACACATATATATTCTTAGACACATACAAAAGTCTAATGTCTAAAAATCAAAATCTCAACATAATTATGTCCCATAAGACAATGGTCCAACAAACAATGCAAAAGTATTAACTTTCAGACTGTTTCCTGAGGGTATGGTTTCCTTTATGTATAAGCAGCTCTGCAATGTATAAATGAGTGTTTTCACCTCTGGGAACTGTTGATTTGGCTTCATTCTCTGTGGTTTCCTCTTTCTGGGTCTCTTCTTGTTCCTCCTCTGGTTCCTCTGAGCCTGGTACTTTGTCAATCACTTCATTTGTCTGCTCTGTAGCTGATATTTTGTCATCTGTCTGCTCTGTATTATCATCAAGAACATCTTTTTCTTCTAAAGATTCTGAAAAGATAAAGATGCAAGAGTTCAGGAATAACTAAATGTAAAAATTGCTCAGTAAGATAAGTAAAAGACAAAGACTAAGTAACAAGAATGGGCTAACATCCTGAAAATCTTTTGAAATAAGTACTTCACTCTCTAGAGCAACTAATTTCTGAATTAGCATGACTAAAGAAATAAAATAATTTGGAGTAAATAAACCTATAAACATACTTTTAGCTAATGACTCTTTTTTCATACAAAAATACATACATACATACACACACACACATATATATTCTTAGACACATACAAAAGTCTAATGTCTAAAAATCAAAATCTCAACATAATTATGTCCCATAAGACAATGGTCCAACAAACAATGCAAAAGTATTAACTTTCAGACTGTTTCCTGAGGGTATGGTTTCCTTTATGTATAAGCAGCTCTGCAATGTATAAATGAGTGTTTTCACGTGTGTGCATGAGTACATGCATATATATAGGTGTGTGTATGCTTGAATGTGTTTGTGTGTACAGAGAGATGAAGTTTTCTGACACTGATGTACATCTCTATTATCCATAGACTGGGGAAGTCAGGATTTACCTTTTCTGAAGGCATCACAAGATCTCATCCCTCTGCAAGTGACATTATCAGTACTTTACCTGTTGGTCAGAATATGCTACATACCTAACACACTAGGTAGGGAAAAGGAAGGATCTTTGTCCCCTGTCTTCTCCACAGCAGAAGCTGAGTAAGAGTTTTGGTTCCTACCTGAAAGTTTACTCCCTTTAAACTCTAGCTCTTTTTGAGTTTTATTAAATTCAAGTTCCTTCTAATAACTTAACAATAATGACAATTTTAGTAAATAGCCTTTAATTCTTTTATTTACTTTTTACTTACATTTAATCACTGTGTAACATTACACATACCAAATAAATTTTCTCATCATAAATACACTGTATATTGATTCAATCAAGATATTGCCATACATATTTTCATCAGCAATGTTCCATTTTTATGTCCCTTAAATGTTTTGCTTCTTTCTTTTTTTTTTTGGAGAGGTTTTTGCTATAGGGCGCGTGCGCTCGCCAGACAGACAGAGAGAGACATAGAGACAGAAATCGAGAAATCACCCCCCACGGGGGCTGCTCACACCGCCCTCCCTTCTCCTCCATTCTCCTCTTGGGATCTTGGGCACGCACGCACACGTGTCCGGCATGAGTTTTAAGCCACCAGGTCCGGGACGCGAACCGCGGTCAACTATGTGGCAGTCCAGCGACAAAGCCATTATGCTAATTGCTGGTTCCCTTGCTTCTTTCTTTTCCCTGATTCCCTTCCTCTTACCCTCCCCCATTTCCCACCCTCCTCCCACACAGTCCCTGATATCCATAGTTGCTCTTGCCTTTATACCTTCCAATCTTTCAGTTTCTGCCATAGAGTGCAGACATTCAGTATATATTGAGTGGGGAAATACAATGCCTCTCTTTCATAGTCTGGCTTGCTTCACTTAGCAGTAAATCTTCCATATTCGTACTCTTTCTATCAAATATCAGGGCCTCATTGCTTTTTATGGCTGAGTAGTATTTTTCAGTGTGTATGTGCCACACTTTTTCATTCCATTCATCTGCTCATGGACATTTGGGTTGGTCCATGTCTTGCAAATAATGCTGTAATAATCACAGACATGCAAGTGTTTTTCTGACTGAGTGCATTTCTATCCTTTGGGGAGATACCCAGGAGTGGAATCACTGGATCATATGATAATCCTATTTGTAGGTCTTTGAGGACTCTCGATATTGTTCTCCACAATGGCTGTACTAACTAACATTCCCACCAACAGTGTAGGAGAGTTCCCTTTTCTCTACAACTTCACCAGAATTTATCTTTCTTTCTTTCTTTTTTAAGAGAGATTTCTGCTATAGTTTGTGTGCTTACTGGAGAGACAGAGAGAGAGAAAGCAAGATATCACCCCCTGGGAGAATGGCCATGCTGCAATCCCTTTTCCTCCACTCTCCTGTCAGGATGTTGGGCATGCACACACATGCGCCTGGCTTGAGTTTTAAGCCACCAGGTCCAGGACTCGACTATGTAGGAGCCCAGCAACGTGACCATTACGCCATCTGCTGGCTCCCTTTATTTCCTTAATCTTAGTCATTCTAACTGGAGTTTAGGTGGTATCTTATGGTTTTGATTTGCATCTCCTTGATGTTAAGGAATGTTGAGCATTTTTTCTTATGCTTTTTGGCTGTTCATACGTCTTCCTTAAAGAGTTGTCTGTCCAGCTCATTTGCCCTTCTTTTAATTGAGTTGATAATTTGGGGGGGGGGGGTGATAAACTGTGAGTTTCCTGAATATTCTGGTTATCAGTCCCTTATAACAGGCATAGTTTGCAAATATTTATTCCATAAAGGGTTGTTGGTTCACTCTAATTACTGTTTCTTTTGCTGTGCAGTTTTCTAAACTGATGTAATCCCACTTGTCTATTTTGGGATTATTGCCTATGCTTTCAGGGTCTTATTTAGGAAGTCTTTGCCTACTCTGATGTATCCAAGAGTTTCCTGAGTTTTATAGTTTGAGGTCTTAGGTTTAGATCTTTGATTCAAACTTGGAGTTGATAATCTGTTAGTGCTGAGAGACAGGGATACAGTTTCATCTTTCTGCAAGTGGATACCCAGTTTTTCCAGTACCATTTGATAAAGAGATTTTCTTTTCCCCACTGGATTATCTAGTGCCCTTTGTCAAAAATCACTTGGCTGGGACCAGCTGTTAGCGTAATGGCTATGTCGCTGGACTCCCACGTAGTCGACCGCGGTTCGCGTCCCGAACCTGGTAGCTTAAAACTCACGCCAGGCGTGTATGCGTGCGTGCACAAGATCCCGAGAGGAGAATGGAGGAGAAGGGATTGCAGCATGGCCATTCCCCCTGGGGGGTGATTTCTCACTTTTGTCTCTATGTCTCTCTCTGTCTGTCTGGTGAGCGCACGCGCCCTATGGCGAAAACCTCTCAAAAAACAAAAATCACTTGGCTATATGCTTTGGGGTTTATTTTGGGGGTTGCCATTCTGTCCTGTTGGTCTACACGTCTGCTTTTGTGCCAGTACCATGCTGTTTTGATTATCACAGCTTTGTAATATATTATGGGGTCAGGGAGTGAGATGTATACTACTCTACTCTTTTTGTGCAGTATTGCTTTGGCAATATGGGGTCTTTTATGATTAAAGACAAATTCTATGATTGTTTTTTTCTAAATCTGTGAAGAATGTCTCTGGTAATTTGATTGAGACTGCATTAAATTTGTAGATTAATTTGAATAGAATTGATAGTTTATACTAATTCTTCCAATCAAGGAACAGGCAAAAAGGTGGAAGCACAGCGCATATTCCTACTTTCAATTCTTTAAAGCTTACAGAACAGGTTAGAGAAGGAAATGACAGGAGCTGACAAGCTTTGGGCCACCCAATTCTCTAAGTCAGATAAAAATCTACCTTTGATGTATTTCTTTGTTTCATTTTCATAATAAAAAGACATTAAAATTCCTTCTCTGAAGGGCAGGACAATGGTGCTGTGATAACACAACATTTTGTGAGGATGACCCACATGGGAAGGTTCCAGGTTCACATCCTGAGATCTCCCTGAATGTGCCAGGTATATACATGGATCCAGGGCTGGATGAGGCTGCAGATAGACTGCAGAATGAAGACCCTATTGGGAGTCCCTGTCTCTCTCTTGCTCTCTCTCTCTCTGTCTTTCTCACTCATAAAAATTAAAAAATAAAAACCAAAAAAATGTTTAAAAATACTTTGTTGAGAAATTTGGTTAAACTACATTGGCTAAGCCAAAAAGCAGATTTTCCTACTGTCAAGGACGATCCCTTATGATATATTATAGTATAAATGTTACTGATTCAAAAAAATCTAGAGGGAATGCCAGTCTAGTAAATAAACAATTCTCATTAAGTTCTCTATATAGAACATGCCACAGTTATAAATAAGTAAAATTAATAGTTTTGCAAAGAAATTATGCATTGCATGCATACATGCTAACGTGAGAATCTCAAGAATTCACGGTTTTACCATACCAGTTTTAATAAATACAAATTATCTATATCTTACATACTCTATACACCAAGGCCTTAAAAATATTTTAGAAGACACTTTGGGTTCTGGTTGACAGCACTAATTACAACCTTCCTCCTTTTTATATACAGAATGAAAGACCCAGATTTCACATTAAGTGGCTTATTGAAGTTTTTACTGTCTGAAAATGCCACACAATTACCAAAAAAATAGTGAGAATGTCCATAAATCATAGTTCTGCCAAATGTCATAAAAATCATGCTTGTATCTTAATATGGAACTTAAAATGGCATTTGCTGCACCACTTGGAATCTTATAAAATTCCAATGTAGAAAAGCAGTAAGTCACTCAAGTTTTGTTATTTGAATATTCCAGGCAGAAGGAAAAATTAAATTCTATGGACATGTACAAATCATTTCTACTACAAGGGCAAACAAGTTCTTCTGTGGAAAATTTCAGGAGTTGCCAATCATTTGTAACTCTACCCTAACAGAATTCACCCAGGGTAGAACTTAGAATCACAGTTTTCCACAACTCCCTGGCCATAGAGGAACACTTACTTGGCAAGAACTTTAAAACTTGTTATACTGCAACTTGTTATACAGTTCAGTAAACCTTCTGAAACAAACCAAAATAGCCACCCAAAGTGAAAAAACAAGTCAGAATCCAGGACTCAATGCACCAATAAACATGTTTAAGTGAACATAGGCCCACATAGTTTGTCACATTCTGACAGATTACTTCAATTCTGCACTGAAACAGAAGTGGCATCAAAAATTCAAGGCTTATAGTAAAGTTATGTTACAATTTTACTTTTCTTCCCCTGAATTAATTTGCAAAGAAGAAATATTTTTAAAATTTCTTAATTTTTTTAAGATTATTTCTTTTATGAGAGAGAGAGACAGATAGCCAGACTGTCCCAAAGAGTCTTATGCCATGATCCCTCCC